GGATGCATGATCTAAGCATTTAACTACGTTAATCGATCAATACGATAACATATCTTTTCACGAATTTAATTAAAGAACTCTATATAATTCCCTACTTGGGTTATGAGCAACAGTTCGACAATCTATATTCACAAAGTCTAATGTGAATAATTCCCATTCACTTGAATCTAGGGTTCTAGACTAACCTTTTGGAAATGTGCAAGAGTAAGGATTCCGGACCACTCAATGGAATCCCACCACGTTGGGTTCCGGACCACTCAACGGAACCAAAATATCAATCGGTTTCTCGTAATCTACCCAGACCTGTTGCATGTAAAATTAGTGCCATCGATCACAGTTTATAAATCTCAAATATAAGTTCGTAAATATGAATACATCGTCAAGTCTCTAATAACTCCAAATGAGTCACCCAGACATCCAACGACCTTTTTAATTCAAACCACAAGATTCACAAAATTCATCGTTCATATGTACATTAAAAACTAGGGCTAGAGGGACGCAGTTCAGCCGAAGTCTACATATCTGAACCTATCTCAATCCAAATTCAATAAACCCTAAGGTGAACATGATCCCGGACCATCTCTCAACGGAATCGCAAAGTAGAAGGGATTTTGGACCCTTATAATGGGATCCAAGTGGGTACGATTCCGGACCATCACTCAACAGAATCACGGATTACAATGCATAAGCACCATTAAATGAAACCCAAGTTAGATACGATTTCAAAACATCACTCAACGGAATCGCAGAGTAGAAATGATTCCGAACCATCTCTCAACGGAATCCATATAGATACGATTCTAGACCATCACTCAACGGAATCCAAACAAGCATATGATTCCCCCATCAAATGTACCAAGTACAACTAATCCTCCTCACTTCTAGAATGCATATGGTCCCCTAACGCGGATTAACCAAGCGCGATCCATATATAGTATGGTCCCCTAATGCGGATTAACCAAGCAAGACCATCCATGTACCACTGCTACATGGTGCAGTAAATTCAACACACATTATACATAGTTGTACGCATACACGCTATCGATTCCACGTATCAACTAAGCACCTAGTCATATGGAGCATAACACAAGAAATTCCCTTAATTACTATTTCTACTTAAAAACTAATAAAGTACTTGACTCATCTTCTGACTTTCATCTCTATCCCACACTAGGTAGTAATGCTAAGTTCATATAGGTATTCAGTTGGCAATCATATCCAAATAATTATCAAAGAATATTTAGATCCCAAATTAATACAAATAATAAAGAATAATACTTATAATGGAGTTTCCCGAGAACCTCCTACCTCGTGTTCGACTATCTTTGTCAACACAAGTCCTCCAAACTTTCCAGCACAACAACTAAACCAATTTACAAACACATGAACAAATGAAAACAAACACAAGTAAATGCATATTAGCAAGCATGGAAGCGAGTAATTACAAATTATTAACTTGTGTAGCTTAGACATTATTTTAGTGCAACTTATACTTCAAATAACGACACTAGTATAAATCAAAAGTAATTTAAAGAAAAATAGGAGAATGATTGAGTACTAAAGAAACAATACTCCTCCACACAAGCTGCATAAAAACTCCTTTGATCAACCAAATTGAAATTCACTTTTGAAAGCTCAATCCTGAACTAAATGGTATGAACTTAAATGTTTTTGGAGACATGTTTTGTATAATTTATAACCACATAATGTTGGTAGAAAACAGAGCTCTAAATTGGAAGTAATGCCAATTATAAAATGGATCCCAAAACTAGAAATGTAGAACTTGCTGTCTGGCCGCTTAGTGAGTCAAATTTGATCATAGTTTTGGTCAACCAAAACTCAATGGAATTAAGTGAAATCAGATGGGTTTTGATCATGGACATGTCTATTTTCAAAACACACAATATTAGTTCAAAAGAGCTCACAAGGACATAGAAATCAAGAGCCAAAGTAGGCTAATTGAAACATAGTTTCCCTTTGCAAAATGAATAAGTTTTCTGCAATGTAAAACCCATACTAGTTTAATCCAATTTACAATTTCAGGACAATCCCAAACTATCCAGGAATCATATTCAACTTCTATTTCAATGTGTTAGCTTACCTATAACATGCTTAATTCTTCATCTTTTAGCCAAAGACTACAAACAATTCAATAAAATTAAAGTATGTACCATTTTTTGTTCTTGTCCTGCCCTCCAAAGTCGTTCATCAATCTCCACTTAGCTACTAAGCTCTTGAATCAATGTTACCACCACAACTCCCCATCAAGAACACCAGAAATTCAAGTTAAACACATAAATCTCAAACTTGTGGGAAAATAAAACTTGAAATTCAGAAGATCCACTTACATATCCTGGAAGCACATGAAGAGAGGAGTATTATTCCCTCTTGGGTCAGGACCTATCTCCGGCGAGGTTAGCCGAAATCGGCAAAAAAACCATAAAAGCCGTTGAAGCTTCTAGGCTTCAAAATATGGGCACGTTTGGTTCCAGCATATGGGTTTGGTATCAATTTGAAGAGCGCTTCGCTACGAATACATAAGCTTCGACTGTGCATGATTTCGTTGCCGTACGAGAAAGTTATGATTCCATGAAATTTTTTGGAGTGAAGGAGAATTATAGGGTAGAAGAATCAGCAGCCCCCTTGGTTTTTCACGCAGGAAAGAAGAAAAAGGAAGTCCTTGGCTTCCAGAAAGTTCCACTTGAATTTACTAAAATGTCTGTAATTATATCGTTATAATCCGGACTCGCAAACGACTTTTCCCTAAACATTCGTGGTTTCAAGATCTATTCAAAAATATAAATTGTGACCTCAAAAGGTCTACATATTTTTAAATAATTAATTTCCAAACTTCAAACTTCGTAACTGGTTTAATTAAAATCTAAATTCAAACAAATTAAAATAAGTTCTCGAGAAATAATATAAAATCTAAATAATACAAATACGTAGATTATAACAATGAAATCCAAGAACAGGATTTCACAAGTATAATCATGCCATAGTAATTTGATAATTCTAGTCAATATAACATTATTCATGGCCATAAGTATAATTAATGCATCCTATAATAGTACGCATACTTGTGCATCTCGTAGGATTATTTCATGAATTCCATCAATCCACTAAGTCTTATAAACGTTAGTCTAATCTAGACATAACGTAAAAAATTATTTATTAAATATATATGAAAACTAAATAAATATGAGATAATTAAAAGCAAAGATCCACTCACAATTATTTGCGAGATCACATCCGTTCAAGAGAGGAAAACCGGAGTCTTCAATAGTAATCGCATTGAAGCATAATATTGGAAGCCATTAGTAAAACTCAACTAAAACGATTAAATTTGGGAAAACAAAGTGTGGATTTGAAATCAGGGTGTCGAAATACCCTAAGGAGGGTCCTCGGCAAATTTTGTAAAAAGTCAACGACCAACTAAAATGTCAACTGAGCTGGCCCGGCTGTCAACTACATTAAAATTTTGAAATTTCACTACATGGATGCTAAAAACGGACTCGAGGGCATCGAAATTAGCCTAGGAGGGTTTCCGAGAAAATTCCAAAAAAGTCAACAAAAGTCAACTAACGGTCAACGGTTAACTTTAACGGAATATTCCCCTCCAATTTCAGAAATGGATCCGGGTCGAGTCAAATTGGTTAGTCGGAAAACTCACCGGAAACTAGGTTTTTTGGTAAAAAATTTGGATAATTTTCAAAGCTTCATAACTTCGTTGTTTCTTAACCAAATTTGACCCATAATATATCAAAACGAAGATAGGGATGTGTAGAACAAGATTAAATCTGTTTGGAGTTCAAAAAGTGTCTGGATATGGCCGAAAAACTCTTATAAAGGTGCGGAGGTCGCCAGAAACTGGGAAAGTTCAAATGGTTATAACTTCTTCCATACTCAACGAAATTGGGTGATTCAAAACGAAAATCATACCTCTCAACGAGATGAAGAGAATGGTACCTTTAGTGACTGCTAACACGCCATGGATCGACCGAAAAAGTCACGGTCCGATTAAGTTTCGATCCTGACGACCTGGAAGGAAGTTCGAGGTGAGGTTGGGTGTTCTATGCTCGTGAGGACGAGATAAAGCTTGTGGTGCCCCTAGTTTGGATGGTGGTGGTCTGAAATTTGTGCACCTTGTGTGCACATGGAGAAATTTAGAAAGAGAGAGTGGGAGAGAAGTGAAGGTGAGAAAAGAGATTGAACCGAGAGGTGAGGGAGACGGGAGAGAGAGAGAGAGATTGTGGGCCCTAGTGGCCACCAAAAAAAATATCCTACCTAAAAAATTAATATAATAATTAAATAATTAAAATAGTAATTTTACAAAATATCTTTATGATTCGTAATTTCATAAAATTTTCGTCGTAACTCCGATGTCCATTCCGTTTGTGCCTGTGCGTTCGTACCGTCGAGTAATTCGAGAATACGGTAAAATAATAGCTCATACGCGTCACAAAATGAAGGTCTATGAGAGTCAACAATCTCGCATGTAGGGCATTTTTGTCAATTTACTATTTTAAAATTAATAAAATCATAAAATTAAGGATGGGTTGTTACAACCATCTTGCTTGAGTTATTTATACTAGAATTACATTGCTCTCTTGCAAGTATTTTAAGTGTTTTTATCGCTACTTTTGCAAGTGAAAAAGATTCCCTCAAGAAATTGATTTTGGACTGATTTTATTCCTTGAAATCCAATTTTCGTCACTTTACACCCGGAAACTCTATTTTTTATTGTCAATACCATTTTCCGTCAAATCCGTCAATAAAACTGTTAAAACTGAGACACGGCATGTTGAGGCCCCCTTAATATTCTTACGCAACTTACCGATCACCTCTCAATCCTCACCTCCAGTTTACAAAAAGACATTGTCTAGACTGCCCTTGATACGAAATCACTTCCCAATAAAATTGACATTCCATAAGGAGCCTGCGATAAATTTTTCCTTTGTGCTGATAACACAAGTGATACATCATGTGCTACTATATAAGCGATGATAAATTTTATTTTTTATATTATTAATTTTTTAACACAAGAATCTTACCACTTGTATCGAGACATGTGGTATACCATCCCGTGTTCCTAGCATTTTGAAAAATCTCTCCGCGCCTGCCTGAGAAACCTTCTATAGCGATTGACAATATCTAAATCCCGGAACTATAATACGAGTTGAAACCATAATATGCTACAACAAACACCAAGTGCTCAAGAAGAGCAATGCTCCATCAACATATACATTTCAAAGCCACCATAGTTCATGATACTTCTCAGAACTGTTTGCCCCCATTAGTCGTATGGATTTTTGAATTTCTTCAAGAGTTCCGGGATATCATAACCCAGCATTTCATCGACGGCATCTATCATCTTAGGTTTTAACTTCTCGAAGTTGTCAATGCTGTAACCACTCAAGATGTCCCTGTAGCGGTTTACGTCCGGGAAATCCCCTGGAGGTAGATGGTGCTCCCCCTGAACCTGTATAGTACGTCAAGTGTAAGCAATATAGAGTAGAGAGTGCGCATACGCAGGGGAGGGAGGGAATGGTACCTTTTTAAATTCGTCTTCCAAATTATCAATAAGCTTCTGTTGAGCCGTAGATTTCCAAAACATGGCAGGCATCTCCGCCTTTAAATGGCTAATTATGCATGCATGTATCTTGGCAGCTCTGGCACGCTTCACAAATTCGTTGATCTGCGAAAAACAAAGGTCATCAAAATTCCATTCCATAGGAATCTGCAAGAAACATTCAGTTTAAATAAGGGGCCTTAACCTAATATCACCTCTACAAGAAGTTTATAAGTTTGCAAATAAAACCAGAGAGCATCTTGGTAAAGTAAAGATTCGAGATACGTAAATATAGCAAACTCACTTTGCGCTCACAAGCCTTCTTTGGAATATCGTTTAAATCAGACAGAAGATCTCCCAGTTCCTTTTCAAAGAGTTCTTTCCCGACTGGACCCGTAGCAGCCTCATTTACAGGTTTGTCATTGAATGAGCTGCAAAAGGGAAACTTAGCTTGCCAGGATCGAACCACGGTATTTGCTAGGAAACATTGGAATATATTTGAAACTATAGGATTTGCTTCCAAGGAATTAATGAATGCAAGGATGGAGAGGCTACCCGATATAAACTCGCATGACCTCGGGAGTATTAAAAACCCTCCCAAGTGACCACATCAACGCTCCATAAACCCTCATCAACTGCATACCAAGAATGAAAAATGATTTGAGCGTAACATCCAATGACCTAATTAAATTCCCACAAAAATATGTAGAGGGAAAATAATCAAAGAGATCCATGTATTGCCTATGCTTACTTGTTGAGTATCACTTTGATCTGCCTTGTTCAGAACAACACGAATTTTATCGTCATGGCCATGTAAAGATGAAATAACACGCTTGTACTCATCACTAACATCAAGTTTGTGAGGATCAAACAGAAGTAGAATGAGGTCACACTTCGCAGCAAACCACGAAGTTACCCCATTAAAATCATAGGCTCTTTGCGTCCGTTGCTTCTCTCCAGATAAAACTCCAGGAGTATCCACAATAGTAATGTGTTCTAGCAGCTTGGATATAAAAATGTGTAAGCTTTGGGTGTTTCAGTAGACAATTTGGAGAATTTCAAGGTGATTCTGAAAGACAACTCACAGAATGTGGCATTTGAGCACACTCAAACTTTGACAAGAAAGCTGTTCCAAAAGTTGTAAGACCGCTAAATGGCATATCAGCTTGGACGGCAATAGTATTCCCAGGAATACTTCTTTCATCAGGCCCAGACTACATGCAAGAAGAATTAGCTAGTAAACAATAATAATTTCAGAAGCATTAACAGAAAACAAAAAACTGCAAATGGAATTTGGAAAAGTTTAATGTCTACAAACAGCAACAGAATATATATCTTAACACTAACCCTATCAACTTTCTTAAGAAATATAAGGTAACAAATGAAGAAATCTCTCTAAGACATCATGTTTTTTGTACTAGTGACACCCAAAAAGCAAAAAGGAAAATGCACATGTACAACTGCTAAGCGTCGCAGAAGCATTTCCAAGAGATGCAAGAAATATTGTTAATTGTTTTATTGATCAATGACCACAAACACAAAATGTCCCTCAGTTTGTCTCCAAATTCCTAGAACTAGGCTAATAATAAGCTTAGTACCCTATCCAGACTCTTGGCATTCTGCCACGCTACACTGCAATCTGCCTTCCAAATTCCTGGCTCATGACTGATATGAGAGACTATTTCAACCAATAGAAACCAGACAAAATACAACTTTTTCTATTGAAATTTAAAATACAAGTCTCTAATATATAGGCCAAAATGCAAAGTTACATTTTCAAAATGTGCCAACCCACCCTAGTTTGGGAGTTTTAACGAAAAGCCTCACTTTACCGAAAAATCACATTTTTATACTAAAAAGTCAATCCTGGTACTATTCACTTTACCCTTTATTTTGTCCTTATCATTAAAACTCTAAAGTTTTCAAGCATTTTTTTATTAGTTTTCCTTAGTTTTTTAATGGAAATGTTAAGGGATATAAACCCCTACTGATAATTACTAAAAAGGACGACACATAAATATAAAGGAAAGGTTTCTTTAAATCAAAACACAAAAGTTTAGAGCACTTCCACCACTAAAAAGCCCCATGGCCAATAGGCAGTTCAATCCCCCTAAATGAATAGTAACAGCTGCTCTATTGTATCTCCACCCCTAAGTGAATAGTAACAACTGCCCTATTGTCTAGGGTATTCTCTTCTATGAATACCCTAGACAATTCGTATTTTCAACTAATCTCGTCAAACCATGTGTAATTTTCCAAAAGGTACAATTTTTGTGGATAGAGTTTTAAGTTTATTTGGTGTATTTATGAAAACTTTGAGAGAGATTGGTTGAAAGTATTTGAAAATATTGAAATGTGGTGTAAGGTAGAAGATAATGGTTAGGTTTTTATTAAAAAAAATACAATTTTTTTTATGTATTTTTTTATTAACTTAGTTAATCTAGATTGTTGGATTACAAAAAAATTGAAATACAACAACCCAGATTTTGACACATGGCCCAACTATAACATTTCTGATTTTTTGTCATATTTTTTTTAAAACTGAAAAACATTTTTAGATTTTGACACATGGCTAACGATAACATTTCTAGATTGATTCGACCTCATTAGTACTGTTGCCACACAAGCTGCAGGCTATGGGAAGCACGCACTTGTTTTCTACTTGCTTGGCGCAAAAAAAAAAAAAAAAAAAAATAGAAATTGAGACCCGACTAACGTCAGCCTTGCGTTATATTCCTTAGGGACTAGGCCAGTTGATTTTTGCCTGGGAGAGAAACTGGGCACTATCCCCTAGGGGTTAGAGAGGGTTGGAAGTGCCATTAAGGCAAGTCATGGATGGCTATTTGTGTAAGAAGCTTAGTTTCTATATTCTTACTGAGTCCCTGTAAAGCCTTATTATATTACTTTTTAACTTGCATACAACCATATAAAACATTTACTTTAACTTTTAATTGCTAAGCAATTCAAGACTGTCTTAATGACAACATAAAAGGATATAAATTGACAATTACCATAACAACGACAAATCGATCGGTTGTAGGCTCAGGACCAATGTGAGCTCCTGTCAAAAGTGAAGTAAGATAGGGGATGAAATAGATGAACAAGCTTTCTGTGCAAGACAAACTACACAAAGACACTTTCCCAGAGGATAACTTACCTGGATAACTACTTTTAAGCAAATGTTTAATGAATGTTGTTTTCCCAGTGGAGTATTGACCCAAAAGCATAACCATGGGTTTGGCATCAAAATCACCATTTGTCTGCGAAATAAAGCAACTAAATATCAATTGATAACTATAGCATGCCACAATTAAATAGATGTTTGAGAAGATTGAAATAAATCTGATGAAAGAACTAGAAGAAGGGAATGATACTCACTCACCATTAATGGGGATACAAAATTGTTGAACTTATAAGTAACTTCTAATGGCTTCAGCTTCTGAACATACAGTCTCTTCAACCCATCAATAATTGATGTTACAGAAGAAAGCGGTATCTAGAAATATGCCAAAGATTTTTTATAAGGTGAGTGCACAACTCATGTCTACCCAAGAGTATTGCAAATTTCATTCTGTATGCACAGGAAATTTTATCAACTCTGTCTGTGACATATCACGCATAAAATAGTAATAATAATAAAATAAAAAAAATAAACACTCCTAAAACTGACGTAAACAAAGCTCTTTTCGTTCTTTTTCACTATGTAAAATGGCCTCTCCTGGCCTTTGTTGTGGACAGAGTCCTAACTGACTCATAATTTCGCATGATCATTGATAAACTTAACCTAATAAAAACACAAGTATTTTTGCAATCAGCTTGAAGTATAACAACTCAGAGAGACTGGAATGCAAAACTATCATAAATTTCTCACGAACAATGAAAAATAAACTCAACTTATCAAAATAAGAAAATTCAAGTTAGTATCAAATAGAAACAGTTTTACGATAAATCCTTTTTTTCTGACTATCATGAAAGCAAAAGGGCAATTGCCTCTTAAAATAAGAAACAACATATACCTTTTTTGATGATTCTGGAGAAAACCAAAGTGCTGAAGGTGATTGCTGCACCACAGCAGTTCCTGCGTCACAGATTATATGTAAATAGACAGCAAAAACCAAAAGTAACAGTACACATCTCGTACTTAGAGAAATTCCTCACCATTTACTTTGTTTTCATTTGACTTGGGCAAATGCTTTTTATTCTGAATAAATTAAGTACACGAAATCAATTTCTTCGGCCATATACAACGAATTAATTAAAAATAAATAAATCCATGACAATGAGTAAAATAAAAATAAGAAAGGTATAAAAAGCCTACGTACCGCTAATAATAATGCATCCAAACCCTCCATAACAGGAAGTTTCAGACTTTCCAAGCCAACTAAAACAAAGCACTCAAAGTTTAAGTAAGAGCGTGCCAAACAAGATTTTAAAATTAATAAATAAATAAATACTTGTGTGCCATTCATATTTATTAAAAAGCAGGTATTACAAGTATTCAACTTATACATGAGATTCTACCAATCCAAGCATGCATTCCAATAAAAGTCAAACAAAAGAAACCCACCGTTGCTATTCAATAAACCGTGTGTAATATCATGTCCAGCTTGTGCATGAGAAACTAGCTGGAAATGAAAAAGTAACAACATGTCAGATTCCTATCAATCAAAATATTTGATTTTTGCTATATATATATATATATATATATATATATATCAACAACAACAACAACAACAACAAAGCCTTTTCCCACTAAGTGGGGTCGGCTATATGAATCCTAGAACGCCATTGCATTCGGTTTTGTGTCATGTCATCCGTTAGATCCAAGTACTCTAAGTCTTTTCTTAGAGTCTCTTCCAAAGTTTTCCTAGGTCTTCCTCTACCCCTTCGGCCCTGAACCTCTGTCCCGTAGTCACATCTTCGAACCGGAGCGTCAGTCGGCCTTCTTTGCACATGTCCAAATCACCGGAGCCGATTTTCTCTCATCTTTCCTACAATTTCGGCTACTCCTACTTTACCTCGGATATCCTCATTCCCAATCTTATCCTTTTTCGTGTGCCCACACATCCCACGAAGCATCCTCATCTCCGCTACACCCATTTTGTGTACGTGTTGATGCTTCACCGCCCAACATTCTGTGCCATACAACATCGCTGGCCTTATTGCCGTCCTATAAAATTTTCCCTTGAGCTTCAGTGGCCTACGACGGTCACACAACACGCCGGATGCACTCTTACACTTCATCCATCCAGCTCGTATTCTATGGTTGAGATCTCCATCTAATTCTCCGTTCTCTTGCAAGATAGATCCTAGGTAGCGAAAACGGTCGCTTTTTGTGATCTTCGCTAGATTGCTCCGGTCATTAGTGTGGATAAGTATATAAATGGATAGAGATAGGAAAGCAAACACAAGATGTACGTGGTTCACCCAGATTGGCTACGTCCACGGAATAGAAGAGTTCTCATTAATTGTGAAGGGTTTACACAAGTACATAGGTTCAAGCTCTCCTTTAGTGAGTACAAGTGAATGATTTAGTACAAATGACATTAGGAAATATTGTGGGAGAATGATCTCGTAATCACGAAACTTCTAAGTATCGGAGTGTGGTGTCGTCTTGACTTGCCTTATCTGTCTCATAGGTAGATGTGGCATCTTCTCTGGAAGTACTCTTCCTCCATCCAGGGGTGGTATCTTTAACTGGTGGAGATGCACAAGGTAATGTATCAATTTCACTTGAAGCTTACTTGTAGTTTCAGGCTTGGTCAAGCGCGATACAAACCATGTAGTAGGAGTTCCCCAAGTCGCCGAGCTAGGGGGTCTGCTGAAAGAGGTGACAGACAAGGTAAGCAATCAGAGCTCCGACTGATTGTTCACCTTCTCCCCATCTTGCAGCAGCATGAAGGATAAAGAGAAGAAAAATGAGAAGAGATGATATGAGATACTTTTGCTTTTGAAGAAGTAACTTTCCACAGGCTTATTCTTGAACTGAGCTGGAGGGTTTTTCTGGTTTCCTCCAGAGTATAAGGCCGACTGAAGAATTTGAGGGTCAAAACAAGTCCATCAAATCTAGAGTACGTTCCACCCTGCTGATATGGGATACTTTTGCTTTTGACAGAGTAATGGATGTATCGGCACGTGTGCTGTTACGCTTGTCTCCACATGCTTCCTTGTATCCTTCGCACTTGCCCTATCTGTTCCTCAAGCAGATGCGGAATCTCTTCCCTGGAAACATAAGATGTTGAAGATGAGTACTCGAGAGCAATGCCAGGTAAGTAATCAGGTAAGGGGTTCCAGGCAGTCAGTTCCTGGCTGGAAGCTTGATTCCAAGTGCTGACTGATTGCTCTCTTTCTCCTTGTCTTGCAGGTAAAAACAAGGCCAAAGGAAAAGACAGGGAAAAAGCATGATATGGGATACTCTTGCTTTTAACCCTGATGATATGAGATATTCTTGCTCTAGTATAGCTTGTTTGCAGAGGTATTATCGGGGGGAAAGAAAGCTGAATATTTCGAAAGGCTTCGTTGGGAGTGCCCTCTCAGATATGATGAAGGGTTGAGCATTTTTGCAGGTCTGCCTGTCGTTGGGGATGGAGGTCGACATATATAGGAGTCTCCCTAACAACAAGTAGTAATGCTATTCCTTTACCCTGCTTGGTCATAGCACGGTAGTGGGAGCTGCCAGTTTCACATGTTTTAACTCTGTCAGAGCACTTTGAAAAAGTGGTCTGTGGTATCTGGCTCTCGAGATTCGGAGAACGATGCCTCTTCGATTTTTGAGAAAGCAATCATGCTGGGGGTCTGGCTCTCGAGATTCGGAGAGCAGTGTCTCTTCGATTTTTGAGGAAGTAATCATGTTGGGAGTCTGGCTCTCGAGATTCGGAGGGCGGTGCCTCTTCGATTTTGGAGCAAGCAATCTTGTTGGGAGTGTTGTCTCGAATGTGAGTAAAGGTTGGGCATGTTTGCTAGTCTACCTTGCCACGAAGCACAAAGGTTGACACACAGGGACTTTCCAATTATCCAGCAATGGTACTGTTCCTTTACCCTCTCTTCGATTTTGAGAAAGTAGTCATGTTGGGAGTCTGGCTCTCGAGATTCGGAGGACGGTGCCTCTTCGATTTTGGAGCAAGCAATCTTGTTGGGAGTGTTTTCTCGAATGTGAGTAAAGGTTGGGCATGTTTGCTAGTCTACCTTGCCACGAAGCACAGAGGTTGACACACAGGGACTTTCCAATTATCCAGCAGTGGTACTGTTCCTTTTACCCTTGTGGGTAATAATATGGTAGCTAGACCTTCAAAAATTTATGTGTCTAAACTTTGTTAGTGCTGTTTCTTTGCTATTCTTTTACCTTTCTTGGTCAGAGCGATGTAGTGGGAGCTGCAAGCTTCACGTGCTCAACTTTGGCAGAGAACTTTGGCAAAGTTATCTGTGGTACCCATGAGCTATTGTTGCGTGTGGGAAAGTGGGTGATTGAACAGTAAGATTCATGTGCTTTCTACTTCACCAGAAAGTCTTCGACAGAATGCCCATAATTTCTGCAAAGCTGAGTGTGCGTGTGACAGGTGCTGACAAGGCTAGAAAAGTAGGTGCCTCTTCGATTTCTGAGATCGGCCCTCGTGGTCTCTGAGCAGCCCAGCTTTTGAGAAAGCGAGCGCCTCTTCGATTGATTCGGAGAACGATGCCTCATCGATTTTTGAGAAAGCAATCATGCTGGGGGTCTGGCTCTCGAAGATTCGGGGAGCAGTGTCTCTTCGATTTTTGAGAAAGTAATCATGTTGGGAGTCTGGCTCTCAAGATTCGGAAGGGCGGTGCCTCTTCGATTTTGGAGCAAGCAATCTTGTTGGGAGTGTTTTCTCGAATGTGAGTAAAGGTTGGGCATGTTTGCTAGTCTACCTTGCCACGAAGCACAGAGGTTGACACACAGGGACTTTCCAATTATCCAGCAATGGTACTGTTCCTTTACCCTCTCTTCGATTTTTAAGAAAGTAGTCATGTTGGGAGTCTGGCTCTCGAGATTCGGAGGACGGTGCCTCTTCGATTTTGGAGCAAGCAATCTTATTGGGAGTGTTTTCTCGAATGTGAGTAAAGGTTGGGCATGTTTGCTAGTCTACCTTGCCACGAAGCACAGAGGTTGACACACAGGGACTTTCCAATTATCCAGCAGTGGTACTGTTCCTTTACCCTTGTGGGTAATAATATGGTAGCTAGACCTTCAAAATTTATGGGTCTAAACTTTGTTAGTGCTGTTTCTTTGCTATTCTTTTACCCTTCTTGGTCAGAGCGATGTAGTGGGAGCTGCAAGCTTCACGTGCTCAACTTTGGCAGAGAACTTTGGCAAAGTTATCTGTGGTACCCATGAGCTATTGTTGCGTGTGGGAAGTGGGTGATTGAACAGTAAGATTCATGTGTTTTCTACTTCCCCAGAAGTCTTTCGACAGAATGCCCATAATTTCCGCAAAGCTGAGTGTGCGTGTGACAGGTGCTGACAAGGCTGGAAAAGTAGGTGCCTCTTCGATTTCTGAGATCGGCCCTCGTGGTCTCTGGGGAGCCCAGCTTTTGAGAAAGCGAGCGCCTCTTCGATTTCTGAGATCGGCCTTCGTGGTCTTTGAGCAGCCCAACTTTTGAGAAAGCAAAAGCCTCTTCGATTTCTGAGATCAACCCTCGTGATCTCTAAAACAGCTCAGCTTTTGAGAAAGCAAACGCCTCTTTCGATTTCTGAGCAGGCGCCTCTCGATTTCTGAGCAGGCGCCTCTTCGATTTCTGAAGCTCCGTCGAGTGCAGATTTTTATAGGGGCTGGCATTAAGTTCTAAAGCACACTTGAATCTCCACCAGTAGAAGCTTCATTCTTGCACTTCTAAGATCTTGATTTGTCCGACCTCTTCTCTCTTCAACACCTTTGAAAATGTCTGGCCCCTCCGACCGTCGTTTTGACTTGAACCTTGTTGAAGAGGCAGCCCCGCCTTCTCCAGACAACATATGGCGCCCATCCTTCGTCTCCCCTACTGGTCCTCTTACCGTTGGGGATTCCGTGATGAAGAATGATATGACCGCTGCGGTGGTGGCCAGGAACCTTCTCACTCCCAAAGATAACAGACTACTTTCCAAACGGTCTGATGAGTTAGCTGTTAAGGATTCGCTGGCTCTCAGTGTTCAGTGTGCAGGTTCTGTGTCTAATATGGCCCAACGCCTATTTGCTCGAACCCGCCAAGTTGAATCATTGGCGGCTGAAGTGATGAGTCTCAAACAGGAGATTAGAGGGCTCAAGCATGAGAATAAACAGTTGCACCGGCTCGCACATGACTATGCTACAAACATGAAGAGGAAGCTTGACCAGATGAAGGAAACTGATGGTCAGGTTTTACTTGATCATCAGAGATTTGTGGGTTTGTTCCAAAGGCATTTATTGCCTTCGTCTTCTGGGGCTGTACCGCGTAATGAAGCTCCAAATGATCAACCTCTGATGCCTCCTCCTTCCAGGGTTCTGTCCAGTACTGAGGCTCCAAATGATCCCCCTCCGGTGCCTTCTCTTTCTGGGGCTCTACCGACTGCTGAGACTTCTCCTAAGCAACCTTTGTGAAGGCTCCCTCTTGTGTGTTTATTTTGACTCATGTATATGTACATATTTGTAGCTTATCGGGGATATCAATAAATAAGCTTTCCTTCATTTCAACGTATTGTGTTAAATACACCAAAGCCTTCTTCGCTAAGTTCTTTGAATTTTCTTTTGTTGAAGCTTGTATGTTGAAGCTTTCTGAGTGGAGCATGTAGGTTGGGGTAGTGTTCCCTTAATTTCCCGAGTGAGGAAAACTTCTCGGTTGGAGACTTGGAAAATCCAAGTCACTAAGTGGGATCGGCTATATGAATCTTAGAACGCCATTGTGCTCGATCCTGTGTCATGTCCTTCGTTAGATCCAAGTACTCTAAGTCTTTTCTTAGAGTCTCTTCCAAAGTTTTCCTAGGTCTTCCTCTACCCCTTCGGCCCTGAACCTCTGTCCCATAGTCGCATCTTCTAATCGGAGGGGCTTTCTGCTACAAATGTAATGTAATGTTTGGCATAGATCATAGTCTTAAGCTTGAGTTTATCAAAGTAACCCAATCTGTGCCAACTTCCACGGCTCTACTCGCATATTAAGCGTCACAATAACTATGCATTGCTCAACGGAAATACAAACCCTCAACTCAATCCTAACAAAATATATTTCAAAAATGACCACGCGTTAACTGAGCTTACACTAACCTCTGCATCAAAAACAAATTCACCAAATACTAATAGTATTGAATTACAGCAAAAACAAGAAACAAATGAAAACGAGACTGCACTAATTTGATAAAAGAAAATAGGGTAAATTACATTTGCACACCTCAATTTTAAGTCATATAACAAACTCATATCTCATATTACGAATTGATTGAAATGTCAGATATCCGTTAAAAAATTTGTCAATTTTTTTATTAAATGCTTACGTGGCAGGCATGGTACCCACCAAATTTGACACGTAGACTGACTGACAAATTAAATTGATTAATAGAAAATCACAAAATAAAGCCTCTCTGTTCTCTTTTTCCCTCTCTTCGAATCTCAGCACCGACTGGGGCTCTCGCTCTGATTCGCCCTTGTGCGCACCTGGAGGCGGAGAGCTGGGTTCAAGCCACGGCGAGATACAAGTTCGTGGTTGGTTGCAGGCGAAATGCAGATGCAGCTTACATGCAGGTTGCAGGCGATATGCAAGTGCAGCGGAGATGGATTTCATCGAAGACCAGATAAAAAATGGAAAAAGAGGAAAAAGAAAGGCAAAAAAATACAAAAAGAAAAAAAAAAGGGTTTGAATGTCAGTCCACGTGTCAATTAATGGAGGATCCACGTATCACATTTGCCATGTCAGTGATGACAGTCAATTTGACGGATTTTTTAACATAAATTTGATATTACAATAAATTAGTAAGTTAATGTATACATTGTTCGAAAGATAAAGAAGAATCGGTTTGTTATGTGACTCGGTTGGCATTACCCAAAAAAAAATATCAAATAAACAAAATAAAACGCAAATTAACCTGCTTGAGCTCCTCCCGATTCAGATTGGCCATGCCGAAGAACTTTATAGCATCACTCCCGGTGATGCGGCCATCAGCGTCTGAACAAAACAAAACCGACACTCAATTTACAGTTGCTCAATTTTCTCGGGAACCAAACAGAAAACTAAGAAATTTTCCCTGAAAAAAGAAATGTGAAGAAAATAAATGCGTGTTTGTGCGGAACAGTGTAAGTATGTACCTGAATCAACGAATCGAAACCATTCCTGGTAGATTTTCTGATGATCTTTCGAGCACGAACTGATCGGAACTGAAGAAATAAATTTTCATAAATCGTAACCAAAGAGAGAATAATCTGATCGAAAACTGGGATTTTTCAGATTTTAATTTTTCAAAATTTTTAAAACGGAAACTCTCTTGGAGGGTTTGTTTTTGTTTCTCCTTCCACCAGGGTGTCCTCCGTACCGACGGAAAGGGGGTTAATTCGTAGCTGTAGCCTGTATATATCATAAGTGGCGCGCGAAATAATAGAAAGGATGGACTACTTGTCAATCTGTAACATCCTACACAACTTTGTGATAGTCACTGGTTTTTAATCCCCTAAGACCAAGCATTTCAAATTCAACGGTGAAATCGAATATGATCTAATCTAACGATAAAAAATAGATTTAACGACCCATAATTAAATTTAAAGCTAAATCAATTAAAATTTTATTTAAATCAAAATTTACCCAAAAATTCTATATATACTTGTGTATTTATTTAAACATCCATGCAAAATTCACTTTCCTCATAACAGTTATTCCATTTTTTTCTTTCTACCCACTTCCAAAACTATTTCTTCCCATTTCCTAATTTTTCGAGCCTAATTGGTCAAATAATGAAGATATTGCTTTGTGCTTGGCATGAGTTTCTATTAGTGAGAAGATGGTGTCATCAGCACAGATAAAAAAAAAATGGCGTGTGAGCTAAAATAGTGGACAAATCAATTCCGACTCCACAGGGCCGGTCTAGAGATTTTTGAGGCCCGGGGCGACGTAAAAAAAAGTGCCCTGACTTCATGTAAGAAAATTATTTATTTTCACACATAAGACATCGAAAAAATTATACTTAGAAAAACACTTCAAACTCAATAATTTAGAAACACAGAAAGACTAATTTATTTTGTATTGAGAGAGGGAAACAAAAAAACTTCAGGCTTACAAGTAGATAGATGATGAGTTTTGTTTTTCATCTGAACTTTGAATGTGTTTTTGAATAAATCGTGAGATGTTTTTTTTCTTATTTACTAACCTTGTCAATATGGGACTAAAAAATAATGATGTTTTCGAGTCTTTAATTGATATGTATTATTAATGAATGGGCACTAAATTAAACATTTTGATGACATGTCATATAATTTGCAAATTTGGTTTACATATTATTCTTTGTTGAAGATTAGACTTGAATTAAAACGAATATTTAAAAATAACAACCAACATAGCTACTAGATAGTAACTAAAAATAAATTAACAACCAAACAAAAATTTGTAAAAAATAAACATGCACATAGCATTTCGAACTTAGGACCTCTTGTTAATTTTAAACAACAAAAATCATTGTTTCTAATTAAACTTCTTGATCTTTTAACCAAATTTTATAAATTTATACTCTTATAAAAAGAAATTTGTAAAAAATGGAAAGTAAATAAGCACACATGGTGTTTTGAACCCAAGACCTCCTCATTATTTTCAAATGAAAAACCACCACTTCTAGTTAAATTTCTATGTCTTTGAACCAAATTTTATAAATTTATACTCTTATAAAAATATATATAAATATACCGCCCTAATAATTTTGGTGCCCCTAATTTTTTTGGACCCTGGACGGTCGCCCTGCCTGCACTGGGCCTAGGCCGGCCCTGCGACTCCAACACCAACCAAAGGGAAGGTGGTGGTGTTCACGATCGGTGGAAGATTAAAAAAAAAAAAAAAAAAAAAAGCGTGCACTTTGTGGATGTGAAGCTTGGGGTGAGCCGTAGTTGGCATGGCTAGTAGAATGAGAACCAAAGAAGTGGTAAGTGTCTACCTTCATAGTTTATTTTTCATGTATACAATCTTATTTTACAACTAATTGATCTTTATTTATTGCTTGCATAAGGTGAGAAAGCAATGGCGATTTACAAGACAAGAACTACACCCGAAAACCAAACTTTTAAGTTGCATCATGCTTGGGACATCCTCAAAGATTATATGAGGTGACCAACTGATGCGGACCAACGATGGGCAAAATTATTTGCTCATGAAGGCTCAAGTGTTAATGTTGACAACGCTACTGACGAATCGGTGACCCCATCTCCTACTATTGCAAGGGCGTCGGGACGAGATAAGCAAAAGGAAGCAAAGAGATAAGGAAAGATGTAAGATCCGATTGGTGCCAAGCTTTGTTTCGGAGTTGAAAAATTAATTGAAGGCCAAGGGTAGATCAAGGAAGAAATGTTCAAATGCGTTTACTGGAAAAATAAGGATGCAAGAGACTATTTAGCGCAAGAAAGGATTGAATTTGATGTAATGAGGGAGGACCCAACAAATACACTCCCAATAGAAAGAAGTTCTTCTATGAGAAGCAAGCAAATATTATAAAAAGGAATGCCACAAGGAATATTTTTGAGGATGATAATCAATTGATCCATCTAACGTTTGTTAGTCGAGTCCGCCACAAAATCCACTACCAAGTCAAGGACAAAGTCAACCAAATGATGATGAATATTATTAGCATTAATAATTGTTATGATTTTTTTATTATCCTTTATTAATTTTTATTTATTGTTTGTATTAGTAATTGTTAGAAGATTGAAGCATATTATGTAGGTTTAGTGTTTTTCATGTTGTTCCATGACTTTTATGTTTCATTAGGTAGGTTTAGTGATTTTTCATTATTTATTGGAATTAAAATGTTTATAAAAATAAATTAAGATAATCTACATAAATTTTATTTTAAAAAAAGTTACCAAAAAAAGAATAGGCTAAAATTATTCTTTAATAATATTGGCTAAAATATTAAGCCAAAACCAATGGAGAAGAAAAGTTATTTATAGATTAGAACCTTAATTTTCTTGGCTAAAAATTAAATTTTAACCCGCACCATTGCACATGGTCTAAACCTTACAAATTATTGGCAATGGGGACACCTATATTAGGATGATCAAACTTGGAAAGTTGTTCAACAACAGGAGCACAATTATGCTACTAATTTTTTTATTATTCGTATTGGTGGAAGGCAACCCGAAGACCCAACCCAACACAATCAAGCTAACTACAATAGAAACGAAATGAAACTCGATTGAAAAGGGTCATGGATTACAAGACTCTCACAATGGTGGTCCGGGGCAGAGAATGACCAAAATATATAGGACCATCCGCCCGATGGACACATGACTATATACAGTTTGTTCTTTGCCCTTGATGGAGGACACATCCTTGTGTGAAAGAACTCGGATTGGGGAGAATGAGAGAGAGTGGGACCACAGTAGGATAAGTGTGGACCTCAAAATGAAGGGGTGGTCCGGTCCAAGTACCGCATAATTCCTCTTGACGAAGACTCTCAATTCCTTTTTAGTTTCTCTCACCTTATCAATTTCCTCCTAGCTAGTCTTTCGCTTATTGCCACTTTTCTCTCCAAATCTCTAAACCTTAGATAGATCAACCTTAGTACCCTGACTTCTTTTCCTCACTACTACAATACAATTGTAATTACAACTTGCAAGATAATATAAATGGAGACTTTGGATGTGATTCTTAACTATTAATTTTTTTTGACTTAAACCTTGTTGGTTTTCAGTTTTTTATCGAAGTTCCTTACATTAATGTAATAATGTATTTTTATGTAGGTTATTATATTTTTTAAATTCAAAATTGAAATTTGTAGTTGTTTATATTAATGAGATTTTAAATAAAATTGATAATTTGTGGGATTAAAAATATTAAAAGATAAATTATACTCTCCAATATATATAATATATATGGGTATTTCATCAAAATTAACCAAAAAAAAATTGTACCAAAACATGTACCACCACAAAAAACAAAGATATTAGGCTTTAGTAAATTTCTTCAATTAAATTGACATGGATCCATTCTCAAATTAACGAAAAAGAATGTACCATATAAGTTTAAAAATTTGGATTAAATTCAATGGATTTTATATTAAAAAAAAGGGTACATTTTATATATTTTTTAAAAAATTACATTTTACATATAATAAAATGGTACATTTAAGATTAAAAAAAAAATTTAAAAAAATTATACAAATGGGTACATTTAAGGTTAAAAAATTGAAAATCTTTTTATAAAAAATTAATGGGTACAAACTTATTCTATTTTTTTTATTTTTTATTTTGGAAATGTTTTGAATTTAAAATTAATTATGAGTTTAATAAAGGTGCAAGCAGTAAAACCCTGAATAAATTACTATTTTTTATTTTGGAAATGTTTTGAATTTAAAATTAATTATGAGTTTAATAAAGGTGCAAGCAGTAAAACCCTGAATTAATTATGAGTTTAATAAAGGTGCAAGCAGTAAACAATTTAACAAGTGAAGTCTTCCACTCTTGCAGAAGCACAAAGCTTCCAGATCATTAGAGGGAACAACTCACATTTCCAGCATAATTATCAGCAAAATTAAATCTATCAAATTAATCAAGCTACAAAAGTTACCTATTTGTGATCTCAACAAACAAAGATCCAGATTATGATTTGTTTTTTTTATTTTTATTTATTTCCCCCTTTAACGTCTTATGATCTTAGCAAACGTACCCGTTTCGAGATTCAAAGCAGGATACGAGTTCTTCTTCCTCTCGGAGTCTTTGAGACTGATATATCCAACAAGAGCGAGGAGCAATACGATGCCCGCACTTCTAGTATACGCAAAAACAACGCCGATCAGCACCAACCCGTAGATGATCGTCATGCAGAAGTCGTGCCTTTTCTCCAGCTGGGTTTCCGGGAAAACTCTCAGATTCTCGGGAAAATTACGCTGGTTTATCTTTATCCCTCGTAAATCAAAGAAATTTTTTTTAAAGGCAAATACTTGTGTGTTTGATTCGCCCGTGGAATCTGATGCGGCAGCGAGCCTAATGCAACTTGAAAATTGCTCACATGCATTTGGAATTGGAATAATAATGACAATGCACTTTTAATAACTTAGAGCATCTCTGATATTCATGTACCTAAAAGAAAATTAGGGATTCCAACTACCACTTTTCAGGATTTATTTAGGGACTTTAAAGAATAGTGTACCTAAAAGAAAATTAGCTCCAATGGGAGTGTTCTTAGACCTACTCCAACCTTTAGATTAAAACTTAAATTTTAGGTTCTAAACCTACTCCAAATTGCTCTAACCCTTGGACCAAATATAAGTTTTAACCCAAAACTTCATTTTTTGAGGCAAATTTAGCTCAGAATTTCTTTTGGGTTAGTAGGTTGGCTCACCATATATGTGTACTTTTTTTTAGTTTTATCTTTATAAATTAATTGAATCCAAAGACTGAAATCTAATATGATCAAAGCCAACGGTAAAAAAAAAAAAAAAATAACAGTCTAAATATATAAATCCAATGACTAAATAATTAAAAAAAAATCTTTCATGCATTTCATATTCTTTTACAGTATTCCACTAGTTTCATGGTATGAATTTAGTGATTTTTCAATATTTATCGGAATCTAAATATTTTTATGTTAAAATGTTCATAAAATTAAGTTAGGATAATCTACATAATTTTGTTCAAAAAAAAAAGAGGTTACTTTAAGAAAAAAAAAATTATCCTATATTCATTCTTTAATAATCTCGGACTACAAATTTAACCTAGAATGGTGGAACCGAAAAACTGTTTCGGAGTTAAAACCTAAATTTTTTTTCATTAAAAATTTTAGATTTTAAACTAAGAGTTGGAGATGGTCTTATAGTATAGTCCTTAAATGTGGGGACCAAAAGATTAAAAAGTTCCGGGAAAACTATCAGATTCTCGGTAAAATTACGTTGGTTTATCTTTATCTCTCATAAATAAAAGAATTTTTTTTTTAAAGGCAAATACTTATGTGTTTGATTCGCCCGTGGAATCTGATGCAGCAGCGAGCCTGAAAGAATGCAACTTGAAAATTGCTCACGTGCATTTGGAATTGGAATAATAATGACAATGCACTTTTATAACTTAGAGCATCTCTGATATTCATGTACATAAAAGAAAAGAGTAAATTTAGCAATGGTCCTTCAACTTTAATCAAATTGGAGCAATGTCCCTTAATTTAAAATATATTACTATTGGTCCCTCAACTCATCAAAATGTGTAGCTGTAGTCATTTTCTTCAACTTCGTCAAAATTTTATCAAAATAAGTTTGTGAACACGGAAAATTCCTGAAACGAAAGAGACAAGAACAAACGCGCACAAACAAATATTTGGATTTGATGATTTTGGGTTACAATCTCTCTCTATTTTGATCCTCTGATTCGATCTCCGTAAGGTGTGTATTTGTCGATGTGATTGATCCAAAGGGCCGTTGGGCTTGATCTAAGGATGAACGTTCTTCAAGGGCCGTGGACTTGATCTTGAAGGTGGATTTGAGCGGATCTTCAAAGGGGCTTTTGGGCTTGATCTTTGAAGAACAGTGATGAACGGATCTCCAAGGGCTTTTGGGCTTGATCTTGAAGAACAGTGATGAACGGATCTTCAAGGAGTTTTGGGCTTGATCTTGAAGAACGGTTGGATTTGTGGATTTGTCGACGTTGTTGATCCAAAGGGCCGTTGGGGCTTGATCTTGGATGAACGGATGATGAACGATGATGCTTTCTTCAAGGGCCGTCGGGGCTTTGATCTTGAATTGGTGGATGGTTGATCCAAGGGGCCGTCGGGGCTTGATCTTGGAAGAACGATGAACGAAGAACGAAGAACACTTTCTTCAAGGGCCGTCGGGGCTTGATCTTGAATTTGTGGATGATTGTTGATCCAAAGGGCCGTTGGGGCTTAATCTTGGAAGAACGATGAACGAAGAACGAAGAACACTTTCTTCAAGGGCCGTCGGGGCTTGATCTTGAATTGGTGGATGATTGTTGATCCAAAGGTCGTCGGGGCTTGATCTTGGAAGAACGATGAACGAAGAACGAAGAAGGCTTTCTTGATTCTTCGGGAACCTAGATGCTTAAGAGCTTCGGAGTTTCAGAGCTTCAGAGCTTCAAGGTGTAATATGAATTCCTCCTCCAAATGAATGAAATGGGCTTGTATTTATAGAATTTTCCAAGGCCTAATTTTGAATATAATATCCCAGATGAAATAAGTCGTTTCTGCCAGGTGTTGACACGTGTCTTATTTGATGACTTTTCCAACTCATTTCAATTTTCGTTGAGTCACATGCTACGTGTAAAATTTATGTAATACATGAGCGTTGACACTTTGATTTATTGGTCAACATTTATTTACCGAAATTTCGATGTCTACAAATGCCCCCACTTCAAGGCACGTCGTATACATGTGCTTGTCACGTGTAGGAGATGTGTTTTGAAGTCCCTTACTATAGATGTCGATCCAAGGGCCGTCGAGGCTTGATCTTGAATTGGGCTGGAGATTTCTTCAAGGGCCGTTGAGGCTTGATCTTGAATTGGGCTTGAGATTTCTTCAAGGGCCGTTGAGGCTTGATCTTGAATTGTTGTTTGAAATTTCTTCAAGGGCCGTCGAGGCTTGATCTTGAAGGTTGAAATTGGACCACAAGGAGTTTCATGTGGTAGATGATCTTTGGCTTTGGTAGTGGGTGAATCGACACGTATTTTGTTGCGCTTTGTTGACTTTCCACAGCTTTGATCTTGAACTGGGTTGAAGGATTTTCTAGATTCCTCCAATTGTTGATTTTCCACAGCTTATTCTTGAACTAGGTTTTGATTCAAGGGTGGTAGACACTTAATCTTGAATCGGACTTGTGATTTCTTCCAGGGCCGTCGAGGCTTGATTTTTGAATTTGGCTGGAAGCTTCTTCAAGGGCCGTTGAGGCTTGATTCTTGAAGGTTGACTCGAACACATGGTAAGCAGGCACGAGGTAAAGGTGACAACCTGTTTCTTTGTTCAATCTTTCTAATTCACACCTGAGCAGTTTGGTCAACGGTATGATCTTCAAGGTTGATGAGCTCTTCTTCCCGTTGGTGACATGATCTTTAAGGATTTGATTCAAGGGTGGTGAATCAGCACGTGCAGCCCACAACGCCTAGTAAGTCGACCCAAGAATTTGAGGGTCAAAACGAGTTCTTCATCTCAGACTCTTTCTGCCGAGTTAACTGAGCATGCTGCATTCTTCTCTGCTTGTTTCTTCAGGCAGATATGGCAGCTTCTCGAGTTCTTCAGCTCGGACTCCTTCTGCTGAGTTGACTGTGCAGACCGCCTTCTTCTCTGCTTGTTTCTTCAGCACGTTGTCTCCACATGCTGCAAGGTATCATTTTCACTTGTCTTATCTGTTCTCCAAGCAGATGTGACAGCTTCTATGGAAGTACAGCAGCAGTGGGAGACGAGTACTCGAGAGCAGTGCTAGGCAGGCAATCAGGGAAGGGTTCCAAGCAGTCGGTTCCTTACCCGAGTTTGAGTGGAAGTTCCGGCATATTGTTTTCTTTATCCTTGTCTTTGTAGGTAAGAACAAGGACAAAGGAAAGGACAGGGAGAACGCATGATATGAGATACTCTTGCTTTCAACCCTAGTGATATGAGATACTTTTGCTTTGGAGTCATTGGCTTGCAGAGGTACCCCAAGGAATAAGGAACATTGAATGAATGACTCGAGAGGCTTCGTTGGGAAAGCATTTTTTTTTTTTTTAGATGAAGAAAGGCTCTGTATGTCTTCCTTGCTGTGGAAGGTGAAGGTGGACAGTTATAGGAAGTTCTTTGATACCTGTAGAGGTACTATTCTTTCACTCGTGTCGGCAACTAACGCGTGATTGAACAGTAAACTTTCACGTGCTTTCTCCTTCACCGAAAATCTTCGACAAATTGCCCGTGATTTGCGCAAAGTTGAGTGTGCATATGACAGGTGATGACGCGGCTGAAAAAGACTGGCGCCTCTTCGATATCTGGGATCGGCGCTTCGACAAATTACCCGTGATTTCCGCAAAGCTGAGTTTGCGTGTGACGGGTGCCGACGCGTCTGGAAAAGCAAGATGCTTCTCCGATTTCTGAGCTTGCCTCTTCGATTTTTGAATGGCCTCTTCGAATTCTGAGCTCGCCTCTTCGATCTCTGAAATCCCGTCGAGTGCTGATTTTTATAGAGGCAGGCAGTTCATTTCAAAGCACACTCGAATTTTTTGCTTGTACCTTCTTGCACTTCTAAGATCTCGATTTGTCCGACCTCTTCTTTCTTTAACACCTTTGAAAATGTCTGGCCCCTCCGATCGTCGTTTTGACTTGAATCTTGGTGAAGAGGCAGTCCCTTCTTCTCCAGACAACATATGGCGCCCATCCTTCATATCCCCCACTGGTCCTCTTACCGTTGGGGATTCAGTGGTGAAGAATGATATGACCGCTGCGGTGGTGGCCCGGAACCTTGTCACTCCCAGAGATAACAGACTACTTTCCAAACGGTCTGATGAGTTGGCTGTTAAGGATTCTCTGGCTCTCAGTGTGCAGTGTGCGGGTTCTGTGTCTAATATGGCCCAACGCCTATTTGCTCGAACCCGTCAAGTTGAATCATTGGCGGCTGAAGTGATGAGTCTCAAACAAGAGATTAGAGGGCTCAAGCAGGAGAATAAACAGTTGCATAAACTCGCACATAGCTATGCGACAAACATGAAGAGGAAGATTGACCAGATGCAGGAGTCTGATGGTCAAATTTTACTTGATCATCAGAGGTTTGTGGGTTTGTTCCAGCAGCATTTGCCTTCGTCTTCTGGGACTGTACCGCGTAGTGAAGCTCCGAATGATCAATCTTCGGTGCCTCCTCCTCCTGGGGTTCCGCCGAGTACTGAGACACCACCTGAGCAATAAAGACTCTCTCCCGTTTGTTTGCACATTTGTTAATTGTTTTTTTTTTTTTTTTTTTTTTTTTTTTTTTTTTTTTTTTTGGTATGTAGAATGCAATTTTATGTAAAATTTCCGAAAATAAATAAATAAAATGGACTTTTATTTTTCTTAAGGCTCTTTTTTTTTTTTGCTTTATATATATATATTATAC